GAGAGAAATCCCAGCACACGCTTTTCCTCCCCCTCCTCACGCCTTGCTCCAGTTGTGGAGAAAAACACAGCCCCAGTGCTAGATTTTTGCATGGAAACATTCTCCTAAAAAACATTTGTTTCTCCCTTTGGAGCAGTAGAAGACGATGAAATAATAATAAAAATAAATTAAAAAAAAGACATGACTTGAAGACAGTATTTAACCATCCCTTTTCTGAGATATTTTATTGGTCTCCAAAGATAATGGGCTAAAGCCTCTGTCCTTAAAGACTGCTTTCTGGAAGGGGACCAGGGACTGATGTACGTGGAGATGCCGGAGGGCTGGATGGGGACCTGGCGGTGGGATGCAGGAGAGCACTTTGCTCTCTTCCCACCCTGACGGTGAGGGGTTTTTTTCCCCCTTTTTCTCTCCATGGAAACAAACGATGTCTGACTCTTGTCACTCAGAGAAGACTACACAGCAACATGGCTTGTTTACTCGCTGTTGTCTTGGGTGGATTGAAGCTGTGTGGCCTTGTCCTTGTTCCAGGAAATGCATGGATGTAGCCGGCTGAAGGAAAACCCTAACGATTGTATAGTTTTCAGTGCTGAGTGGCAGTTAGCCACCTCGCTTTTATTGTTAGCAGATTACAATGTTGCCTCACTGCTCTGTGCCACACACCACGCTGTGACTAATATCATTCAACAAAAGAAAATCCCCTCCAAAGTGACCATGTTCTCGAGCCCAATGGATCTGGTAGAGGCTCCATTCATCCGATACTGTTTTCTCTCTGCATCTCTCCCACAAGTGAGGATAAGAAGAAGGGCAGAATCACCCTGGGAAGCTCACATCCACGATGTAACACCTAGGGTGGTCGCTGTTGGATCCCACACCCTCCCAGCTGCCATGAGCGGACCTGGGTTTGCTCACACCGACCAGCCTCCGGAGCTGTTCGGCATCTTTCCCCATTGAACCCTCCAAGAGGGGCATGCAAATAACAACATGCTAACTTTGTTTGTGCCATGAAAGGAGCTGGAAAGAATGCACCGAACCACATGACAAGCGAGGACATCAGGCTGTGCAGAGAATAGAAAGACTTCATTTTTAATTACTTCTGAACAAAGTTGGCTCAGTAAAGTATTTCCCATTGTACTGCTGAACTTTTCTTCTCATCACACAGCAGTGAAACACAGGCTCCTCCGTTGCTACAAGTGAACTAAAATCAAGTCTGTGCTAGGGATCACTTCATTCCCTATTAGAAGCAGACTACCCATCTATCACCAGTGTTTCAGACTTTTCTGCAGCATCCAGGCACTTCTTTGCCACTGTAGATGTTTTTATCATGAGAGTCTTAAGAAGCAAGACTTAAGAATCCCACTGTCATTACAGAAAGAGACTGAGGGTTAAGTGCTTAAAGACACCCTCTCCCCATTGCTCCAGGCACGAGCGGTCACAGAGAGGCCATTCCAGAGAACCAACTTTAAAGTCCTAGACTGGTGCTTCAGTCACAGCAAGAAAGAGGGGATGTAAGGGATGACATTCACCTGAGGCACAAACTGTATCTACGTAGACATAGCCAAGTTCAACCTACGTGCTGACAGCCACAGCTACAACAGGTACAAAATGAAGACTTATTACTTAAGGTTCTCATCTTTAAAGCATGTTTATTTGGACTGTAAATTCTTCATGGCATAGACTTTATGGTTAAACGTCTTGCGTGGTCTTGGTCTGGGCCAAAGTAAAACATAAGCAGGCTTCAGTTCCTCGAGTTTCAGTATGAGACCAAAGTCCAAGGATTCACTGAAATGTATTGCGTGTCAGAGTTCTGTGGATTTAGAGAAAAGTCAGAAGTGACTCGTGTAACTGATGTCTTCCTGAGCATGCAGAGAGCTTGAAACAATAGATCTAAGCAATGCAGACTGCCCCATTCACTTTTTCTTCAAAATCTGCTGTTTCCTCAAGTAGGAGCTTGGTCTGTGCACAAGAAAAAAATCCACATTGTACAGCTAAAGACACCAGACGGCCATGTAGGCGTGTGCCTTGGGCAGTCTTGCATTATTTAATTAAATAGCAATTTAGCATCTTGCATTGATATGTCTTTTAGCTAAAGATGAGCAACTCTCCAAGCAGCAGTAAGGGCCCCATCCTTGTCACCGCTTCATTGGTGTCCAAGACAGAAATTCCATTGACTTCAGAGCGTGCAGGCTCAAACTCCTGCTATGTTGGCACATGACACATTTCAGAAACCATAAGCTATACCCTCCTCCTCACAGGTAAGCTTATAGAACAGTTTTGCTGCAAGACATGCTGCTTTTTTGCAGAACGTAAATACTCAAGTTCTGTTTTTCCCCGTGGGATTCCGATAGCAACCCAGCTGTAATTTCTGAGGACGTGAAGCTCCTTACTACCAAACCTCTGCAGAAGCTCTTAACCCTTGTGAGCCTTCGGCAGCTTCAGGCTCCATTTTCAACAGCTGCCGGTACCAATTCCTTCTCTGCAGGTTGTTGCTCTTGAAGCAGAGATGACAGAAATGAACTTGTACCTGCACTTCAGTTCGCTGCTGGTGCAGATGGGTTTGTGACAGGCTGCCAAACTCAGACCTAGAGCAGCTGCTACCTTGAATTAAAAACACTCTTTAATGACTTTAAGATGCCAAGGCCCAAAAGACCTTGCTGCTTATTAATAACGTGGATCAAAAATGACTACTTAAGTTAGACATACAACCACAATAGCATCAACATCGTTATTCCAGTTCATTGAAAATGCTAACGAATGGTGCATTAGTTTAAACTTATAGTAATTATTTTTCTTCTCTGAGCTTAACTTCAGTTACATACCACTGCCTAGTTAATATCTTCTCGCTAGTGTGGTTTGGCCAGTTAATTGCCTATTGGAAAAGTAACAAGATATTAGGCAGCACTCAGCACTGTGAAATGTGGTCTCACAATGTATGACAGAAAAAAGCGACAGAACTGCAGAGATCTGCCCAACTGGATACAGACCGGGCGCAGCTCACCCTGCAGGTTACACACACAACCACAACTGCAAACAGAAAACCATCTGGGTGTGTTCGTCCAAACAAAACCGGTCACTGGCTACATGCAGCCTCCAGAGCAAAGCAAACAAACATAACATATTTATATATCACATAACATGTAAATGTATCTGCATTGAAACTTCAGAGGTTAAGAAAGGAAATAAGGTAGAGGAGGAAATTCCCACAAATTTGACCAGAAAGGGCTGGTTCAATCTGTAATGCAACAGGAAGATCAGATGCTGGAAGTTTTCAGTGGCAGAATAACTGCTTTTTAACTGCTAAGGTCACCTGGGCATCTTCACCAAAGCAAGCAGTATTGCAAGAGTCAAAAAGAACATCAAATGATCATGTTACTTAATTTGCCATCATTTGGAAGGGGAAGGCAGTGATGTATAATTATTTTTTTGCTTTTCTTTCCTCCGCTTTCTAAGCTTATGATGTAATGAGTATGTTTAAGTAGTAACATAACCCCTGACTCTTACCCTTGAAGTGCACAACTCTGAAACAAGACGCAGAGGACTCCACAGTGCTTATGTTTTAATTCAGACTAAGTGATACTGAAAATAATTTTGAGCTGGCGAAAAAGAGAGCATTTTAGAGCATGGCCCTATTTTTTTTTTTTTCCTTCAGAACCCTTTCCTTTGTTGACCTTACAAGAAGCTGAAGCAATGCTTTCCTTGAGCCCCTCTGTAGAGTACATGATAACGATGAGAACTTTTTATTTAATACTGTACAAAACATCTGACCCTTGAGGCATAATAACGTGCTTAAAATATACTTAACAGTACCCTCTGGCTAAAAAAAGTTTCCAACTCATACTTAGAAAAATATCCATTTAGATGCTTACTTTGACTATGTGCCCAGCATCAATGGCAAAAGTGCTTCTGTTTAGAAAGGATGGTTCAGCCAAAATTCAACTTGTTTTTCAGGAATAGGAAACCAAAGGAAAAAAAAGAAATAATAAAAGCCATACCAAATAAATCATAATTCTCCTTTACACTGTAAGTGAATGTTCACGTGTATGCAAATATTACTGTTCAAGCTAGTACTCGATAGCACTTTCACAGCGAATGCTGCCAGTGCTGCTGTCTAACCCTCACCACTGTCTGATGTTGTGGGTGCAGGAAGACCACACTGGTGGTGACAAAGGCACAGCAGGAACAGGCTTTACTACTATGCCCAGCAACTTTTCAAACAAATCCATACCAGACTGGTCACCCACAAGTTTTTGGCTATGGTCTGTCTGCTTTTCATTTCTACCACAATGATTAATATTAATGTAATTTCACAGAGGCAATGGAATCACACCAAATTATAAGAGACAAGACAAATCAAGAAAAGCATCTATTTTAGAATTATGTTTCCATGAAAAAGGCACCTCAAGTGTTTCGGGGAAAAGCCGAAGAGAAAACTGGTCCTCACTTTCCTCTGCCAGACCGAAATAAAAATTAAAAGGTTTACAAAGGGCTGAATTAAGAAAACAAAGCTGAGAAAGGGGCTACCATCTCTTACACCTGATTAGTTATTACTAGAACCCAGTGACTGAGCCAGTGTTTCCACAGCCATTCTTCAAGAGCACAAAAAGGGTGATTTCTCCCTCTGGCCATTTTTATGAAAAATATGCTGAAAACTCCCAACAGACAAACCCCATTTTTTAGTAAACAGAACTGTAACCCTTAAGACAGATTTTCTGCAGCTTGCTTTTAAGCTCACAAGTACAAATTTGCAGGTACAACCATGAGATGACAGAACGTAACCACCTCGCTACATGTGGCTGCACACAGCTACCAAGGGGCAGGTTTTTGATCCAGGCCTAACAAACGTACACACCAAACAGCAGATCAACCCCTGGTCAGTGAAAAACAAATACACAGAGTGTGGGTACTCTGTGAATAACCATTTAGAGAAATGGCCCCTCTGTCATCTAGCTTGACAAATACACTTCGCATGTACAACTGCAGGAATGAGGCAGGCAAGTCAGCTGTGAGACGTATGCCTCATTTGTTTGGAAAGCTGGCTTTGCACTTTGTTTAGCCTGCAGAAATCAGAGGATACACTAATATCCTTGAAAACTTAGGTTGGCTTCTCACAAAACAAGGAAAACGCCTATTTTTTTCCTCTATTCATATTCATTTCTGACTATTGATTTCTACTTGCCCTTTGTTTCTCTGATTCTTGGCCAGCTCAACTCGCAAAGTATTACCCCCCAGGCTCAAGCCTTTCAAAGAGGATACAGCACTCTCTGCAGTTGCTTTATCCTTGTAATCGAGAAAAGCCCTGTGTTGTGCTCCTTGCCAAACCAGTCGTAAAGGAGTTGCATGGAATTCCCTTATAGCACATTTCAGCTCGCTTACTCTTACACTGGGAGGTATGTTCCCCACATACACAGTAGTAATCATGCCAGATCCCTCTAATCTGGGACTTAAAGAATAATTTTCAATATAATGTTGTCCTATTTGAGCTGAGCCCATAGCAGCCTGCGATCTTGTATTTTCAGCCATCGCCTTCTGATTTAATGCTGCTGGTGGGTTGGCGTTTGCCAAGTCTGAATGTTCATCTTGGACGGTAACATCCTTGCCAGTCTGCTTCTCTCTGTATCGAAGGGTCTTTAGGATGGGGATTTTTCCCAGCATCTCATAGCTGACCTAAAAAGGAGGAAGACAGATACAATGATGAGATTTCTTGCCTTCCAGAAAAAGATGACGACCATCAGGACCCATTTGTGCCATAAAAAGAGATGAACCTTATTATATTGCTACCATTCAGAGTGCCAGAGCATTCAAAATGTTACTAATTGCTGGCCTGATTCTGAAGTTGCTCCCTAAATACACACTGCAGGACAAAAATAAACATTAGTTACTCTTTAAGCGAGCAGCACAATGTAGATCCAGCAGGAAAATCGAAACCAAACTCAGAACTATTTGATTCTGACATTTATCTATCAGAGTGCTTTCAGACTCACATTCGCATTGTTATCCCTTAATATTTGCTTTGACCGAGGGCCTATGCTCCTGCTCTGGCAGAATCTGACATGCCTACAACTCATCAGACCATCAGGCACTTTCATTCTGCAGACCTCCTTGCACTCTTTTCCCCCAAAACAGGATATCCCGTAGGCTGGGTCATACAATGGGGAGGGACGACGGTGTTAAGTTTGCAGCCGGGAAGCGTGCCTTGCAGCGCGGCTCCTCTGAGTGTGGGCCCAGCTGGAGGCACGTTCTCTTGGTTGTGGCACATCACCACAGCCTCCCTCTTGTCATCTGACCTCACACACCGCCCACAGCTACTCATCAGATCCCACATCAGTCTGCTGGGTTGGATCACAGAACGGAATTTGGACACTATACTTCAAAACTGTGAACTCTCTATCCCTTCCATCCACCCTAAGTTCACAAGCAGCTTTTCTGGAAGGGCTCTTCCTCTCAACAGCTGAACCCTATCCATCTCAGGCATGAGATGCCCCAGGCTGCACTCAGTGACTGGCAGGAAACGCAGTGGTTCCCTAGCTAATGTGGTCTAGCTCTTGGCTTGCAGACTGCAGTTGCAAGGAGGAATAATTCGTACTTGGCTGCTGGACAAGCAGAACATCCATCAACACAAGATCCAATTCTTAAATTTAGGGAGCAAAACAGAGCCTAGGGAAGTGATGCCTGAGCTAGCAGAGACCCAACCTAGTAGCCCACACAGTGCGAGCAAGCCACTCTAGCAGGGCACTGCACCCAAACTTACGAGCCACTACTTCTCAGCAGGCTGTGCTGGACTAGCACTAGCATATGCCGGCTAGAATATGTCTGCAGATCTCCCAGCTCAGATCTCTCTTATCCCAGAGCCCCTGAATTCCTGGTTCTATGATTACAGTCAGAATGAGTTTGGATCTGGCTGCACCACAAAGTCTAAAATTTGCAAATCTCTAGGGAGGGTAGCCCAGCTCTGAAGTGACTCGAGTAAAATCAAAGACATGGTGGGGGCAATATTAGGCTTTGGTAACAGGCAAGCCAGTCAACAGAAGTGTCATGAATGTTCCCAGGGCTCCTCTTCTGAGGAGCAAACAAGCAAGTTTTATTTCAGGCTGAAACTAAATAAAAATAAAATTTACATAAAGCCCATCCTAGCTTTATCTTGTTAATATAACATCAAATAGCAGAATAGGACTAACCAGTATGGGCAGAGGCCACCTCCATTCTGCCACACTGCAGACCCAGAGTCAAGGTGTTTGGGATCAGGCCCTTTAAACAAGCAAACTTTATGACGAAGAACATTTCTGAACAAATCTGGCCTGATCTGGCAGTCAGCACAGAGAGGCAAGGACTTCCTCTGGGGGTCTGGGAGCCTCCGCACTCTGAAAGGTACATGCCATTTTCAGATTTTGAAGAGTTATTGCTCTGTGGATTCTTGGACTGATTTGTTTTTCTCAGCCAAGAACTCAGACTGCTGTGTTTGACAGCAAACTCCCCTTCCCTGGGCGATACAACATCAAACCAATGGCTTAAGCCATTTCACTTTGTTTTTACTGGCCAACAATTAGGAACATTTGTTGTCCTCTGTCAAATTTCTATGTGAAATGTAAGCTCTATGCTAATTAAACCAAACAGGAAAAACATTTTTCTATTCTCATGCAACTAATCACTCCTGGACCCAAAGCACAACCTCAACCTCTTACCAAGTGTACCAGTTCCTTTCACGCTGAAATTAAACTCAGTTCCCAAGACACGGACTGAGTGTTTAGTTAGAAATATCAATGCTACCAAGGGCAAACCCTTACCACTTTGTAAATTAAGGGACTCAAAGAGATGGGTACTGAGAGGATGAGCTCTGGAACTCCCAGTCTTTCAAGGGCAAATTGAGGAGTGGAGTTAGATAATCCAAGGGCCAAAATACTCTCTTAAGGGACTTCAACTGGCCAGGCTTCAACGTAGCCTCTCCTCTCACGAGAGCGACCAGTAGTTTTTGGCATCTTACTGGAGCTCTTTGAGCTACTGTTTCAGGCTCCCTGCAAACTCAGGAAGCTATAGTTACAACAGCATATACATCTTTGCAAGGGCTATGAACTAGTTTTCTATAAAAGCTGAAGCTCTGATCAAACAGCACCCCATGAGGCGAACCTATCATTACCTTAAATTCAGCCCTCTGTAGAGATAACAGTACCAAAGCAACAAAGGCAGTTGATTTGGCACTCAGATTTGTTTGCAATAGAAAATGTAAAAAATCTACGTTAGACAAGTTCTGACAGTGTCAACTGACATCCTGGCCCAAAAGAGAGACAGATGATTTACCTTAACGGTCATTTTCCCTGGGGTCGAGGAGAATCTTTCAGCTGGGCCAAAGCTTTCAAATCCTTCCCTACTTTTCCCCACTTTTATGTCAAGGAAAGGCAGAAACTCAGTTTGGGATTTCAGAGTTTCAATTCAACTAACCAATTCACTACCGTTTTTGGGGTGCAGGGGGTGAGAGCCAAAAGGGCAAAGGGGGCAGTGGGTGGCAGAGGAGAGGAAAAAGCTTGCTCTGCTCTGTTGCAAAATAGCAAACAAAAGAACTCTGTGGTAGTACAATGTGTTGCTAATTATGATCATGCAAAAAGTTTCTTTTGTCTTGTGAGCTGTGGAGGATTGCAGTGATTTATTTCCACGTGGAGAGAGGCCAAAGATACTCCTCCTTTTTCAAACAAGCTGCACGTTTCTTGGTCGTGTGCCGGCTGGTCACTCCTCCCTAGCCTTGCCTACTGCTTTAGGCTAAGCCAGGCTTCAGGGGACTTGGGTTCTGCCCCAAGGCTGGTTGATCCACTTATGTGGACCTGGGCAAACCCAGTGGTGGAAGCTTCTTCCCTTGCTCCCCCCATCCCTATAAAATCAAGGCCAAACCATTTATTGATGTTTGTAAACTTTGTATTGAGTGTTGGGATTTAGCTAAATGATTGGCTTTGGCAGTGAAGGCAGCTGAAGAAGTTTTCTATTATCCCTTGACCACCAATTCCCAGGCCAGTTCCAAGCTTCAGCCCTCTGGGGTTGGCCAACAAAAGTGCTTGTGGGTCTGCGCTATAAACTCAGTAACTGAAGTGATTCAGGTTAAAAATAACTCCACCAAAGGCAATCAATCATTTAACAATCCTGCCTACTCCCTGCCATAGCTGGGAGAGCTTTGGGGAAAGAGGACAGCAGGGCAGATGAATTCTTCTGGCACACAATTACCAGGCTATGGGAAAGGAGCTGAGAAGGGAAATGTGGCCCCTTTTTGACAGAAACCTGAAAAAAACAGAGTCTTGGATGCTGACTGGCAACACAAATCTCCCAGCACTTAACCCTGAGCATCCGCTCTTACGACACCTGGTTTGGTCCCAAAACAATGTAGTGGCAGATGGACTTCTGCAACATCTCTGCTGAAACATTGGGTCTCTCTTCAACCTCTGTTATTCCAGAACAGTGAATGTAGCCACTTTCAATATTTTGCTGGCGAAAATGAAAGATGTGTTTGTCCCCTGACAGAATGAGTAATGCTGACCCCTGATACAGTACAGGCCAAGCCAAACACCACTTTGATTTCCCTGGCAGCAAAGGCGGTACAGTTCTGATGTATGGCAGATGAGGGAAGAACAGCTATAAATTGGAGAGCACGCTAGGTCTGCTATTTAATTCTGCTTCACACAGCTACCCATCTGCACACATCAACTGACAGAAGAACACGTGGCTTAAGATGGAGACAGATGCTGCTGCTGCCCTGCTGTGGAAGGCTGCAAACAAGACCAAACAATCTTTAGTACAGCAGACCCACCAGCCCTTCCAAGTATTGAGGCTGGTAGGGAGAAGGTGTTTGAAAAAGTCATCTTTATCATCCCTGCGGGGTGTCTGACCCTAGACTCCTCATAAAGGCTTCCAGGACAGACCTCACTTCTCATGTTGTCTCCTTAATCAGTTGCTTATTTCAAGGAGCACTGAGTTCACAGGGGTGTAAAGCACAGACAAAGCCAAGACAGTTAGGATGGGCCAGCACAGTTGAATATTTTATCATTCATTTGCACAAAATGTCCAAATATGTGCACGCAATCCGAGGGCATATTTCTGGGAGCTGGCAGCCCATGAAGTCTGCTTGTGTCCCTCAGGAGAAACTTATGCAACCCACATTTGGAATCCATCAGCAAAAACTGATTCCAGGGACTCTGCAGCAAGGGTCAGAGTTGCAAAGGTGTTGAGATGTTTAACCATGCGTGGAAGCATGCCCTGCTCACACTATCCCTCCAAAAAACAAAATAAAACAAACCTTGGCTAAACTGACAGCAATTTTCTCCTGATGGCAGCACTGGTCCCCTGCTGAAGCTTTTGCCAGCTTCACTGTGTGAATTTTCTGAACTTTAAATAACATCATTTTACTTTCCAAACACTCTATCACAAACCCGAATCAAAAGCTGTTTCTTGTCAGATAGTTCGCATCTCTGCCACTGCATACTAAACTCTTTCAACATTAGACCCAGGGATTTCCCCCAGTTCATTTCGTTTGGGGAAAAAATCTTTTCCTACTTCTATAAAATTCTCAGCAAAAGAATGATTAAAGAAACAGAAGGAAATGCTTACTAGAATCTAGTGATTTTTCCACCAACTAGTCTCATTTCCCTCTTCATGACCCCAAATATTTTAATTGGGCTGTAGAGTTTCAATTTAAAATAAGCGCAGCACAAATAACTTCGTAATTGTGACAAATATAATAGTGTCACAGATAAAGATCACAGCTACCCATACAAAATACTAAATGAGAAAGTAAGTCGTTTCGTGAATTTAGAGTTCCCAGAAACAATGGGTTAGATTTTCAAGACAGATGAAGCCAAATAATTCTCCACTGGCATCCAAATAAAGTTTTCCAGAGTGCTCAGCTCTTAGCAGCTCTTGCTGTCCTCCAAGAGCCCACACGGATTTCTCAAAAACCTGAACTCAGATGCAGAAAATTTACTCATATACACATTCCAGTACTGCCTTTGTATGTAGAAGTGTTTCTAGAGTACCTAGCACTGGTATTGACAGTGCTTCTTTGGTATTAATAATACTGTAGCTCTTGCACTTCCTTGGAAGTCTTTAAACCAGCATTTCTGTGACAAAAATCATAGCAAGTAATTCACATCTTCCTGTTTGGAAAAACATACTACCTCAACAGCAAGAAATAGCTCAGCTGGAAATTCTGCACTGAGAAGAACTGAAAGGAGGCAACTGAGGGCAAGTCATGCCAATTACCCCAAGAAGTGAATCATTTGCTCACAGAGGAACACCTATTTACCCCTCCCCATATCTGACACGCTACTTCCTTCCTACATAGCACAAACAAAAATCACTCCAGGAAAATGCAGTACCCCTTTGAGCACAGAAATCTAGCCTGGAGACATGCATTTTGTTTGCTGCATAAGTACCTTCTTAACTCTTTCAAGCTGAAAACAGAGTGTATGTATTAATGGTTAGTTATCATAACAGCTTCAGGAAAGCACATCCTTTACAACAATGCTTATCTGTAATCCCATGTTTGCAAACACCTTTAATTTAAGGTCTTAAATCATTGTCTTGGCTTGATCCAGCCATGTTCTGAAGGACCAACTTTTTTGCAATGTGTTTTACACATCACACATCTTAACAATAAAGCTAAGCTACTTTCTGTTAACAAAACACCACATTTAGAAGTGGGCTATTTATTTACTCACTACCCTTTGGTTCATTTAGTTTTGCTCTGAGGAACAGGAATGCACCAGTAAAGCCAGGATTTGAAGGAAAAAAGGATGTAGAGAAAAGGATGAGAAAAGCATGTAGAAGCAGCCAGGAAAAGTCAAAGGACAAACACTTAAATAACCCGTATCGAATCCTGCATTTTTAACACCCTGTTGATTAACTAGACCTCCCACCTCCAAGACCCTCTGTGCAAGAGTTGATCATACAGTTACCATCACAAACACAAACATATACACATCATTCAGCTCCCTGTGAAAGAATAATGCTAGTTTCTTTCTTCTTCATGTAGACACAACACTTTGCTCTTGTCTCAGAGTAAAAGAAATGTAACGATTATCCCTGCTCTGGCTAGTATTCTCCAATATTCTTATTTAATCAACATATGCTCTGAAGAACAGCCAAAAGTAGTTTTACCAAATGCTCAATCATGTAATGTGCTCCTTAGTCAGTGAAAGCTGTAGAAAATTCAGCGAGAGCTGTACTTTTCAGGCAATACCACTAATGTAGAGATTACTATAGGAAAAAAGTTTTACTGTCTCATGCAAACTGACTAAAGTCAGTGAGGTGCAAGCTTTAGATATGACTCTGTTAAGCACCTCCTCAAGCTTTAGACACAAGCACAACGGAGCTGTGGCAAATACTTCATTAGTTTATAAGATGTATACTATAACATTGATCTTGACTTTTTCCTCTAAAAAGCAAAGAAATGCAAAAGTAACATCAAATTTGATACATCTCTTGGGACTGACTGACTTTTCATGAGTGGTAAAAGTTGCACAAAAATTCAGCGGCCCCTGAAAGGGACCGTGTTCCCCAGACCTTTGAAAAATGTCGTTGCTAAAGGGAATCAGACAGGGGGAAAAAAAAAAAAACACTGTTAGCAAGGCCACTTACTCAGATTGAAGTCTGACACTAAGACAGACAGACTGTGATCAAAAGTATGTTGGCAAGATGGATGGAGCACAAGGGGTCGGCCTTCAAAACAATTACATTCAATAATATTCTAAAAAAATTACGATTCAAAAATAATTCAACGGAAAAAATGCACTAGTACAGACAGAGCTTTTATTTATTTATTTATAACCTCAAATCCTCAACCACAGGCAGGGTAAAATACTCTCCCACCACAGGAATAAAAATAGTACTGGCTAGAATTGTTTGTTGTAGATACATTACCTTAACAAATTTAACTCTTTTTGCTGGTTGGCAAGTGCTTAATAAACAACTCTGGATTTCCCTAGAAGTATTCATTACTAATTCCTCAGTGGTTTTTGCAAGACATAGGCACACTATTCCTCATGTCAGTGTTCCTACTGTTACTCAATCATGTGGGATTGCATCTGCTCCCTAACTGGATGATTTTAGGAATGAAAATCTAATGACAAAGAAAAAAGTTTTCCCAGCATGAACTTCCAGTAAAACAATTCACTAAATGCTTTTTCTGAAACAATTTGTGAAGCTGCTAAATTCTCTGACAATCTTGGGCGGGGGGGGGAGGGGAGGGGCAGCACAGGAGGCCTAACCTGTAAAACAATATTTAACAATAAATAATGATTCATGATTTAAAGCAGTATAAAGTCACTATTCCTCCACCTGAAAATGAGCTCCAGCCACAAATTCATCTATCCCTTGAAAGTTAATCCCATACATCCACTACGTAAACAGCAATGTACCAGCCACTAGGTCACACTTTCCTTTCACGACCAGAGCAGCACATATTTTACCCATTCCACACAGCCTAATGCCATAAAGTTCTTTTTATGGTACTGCCGCCAGAAAACAAACAGAGCCAATTTCAATGAGCACTGAGGAATAAAACACAGAAGGTGGAAAAGCCCCTCAGCTTACATAAACTATTATACCGCAAACGACTACTTAAAAAACACTACACACATATTCTGCTGTTTTGTTTCATCTGACAAACACGTTTGCTCCATTTCCAAGTATTTCTAATAGAACAAATGTGTTTATATGTAAAAATAGGGGACTTATCAACAGACGGACAGTACAGTAACTTGCCTTATGCCATATTATTCCCTGAGGTTTCGGTCGTTTGCAATTAGTCTTGATAGTTCTTGTGGGAGTGAGTATATAATCCACAGTTAAATCATGATCATCAAGAAGATCTTCTGCTATGTCAACCACCTGCAAGGAACAAGAGATTTGGTAAATAGTTAAAAACAAATTCACTAAAATTGCACACCATTCCTGATGTCTCGCAACATATGAAAATGTCAATGACATTGGAAACAAAGTAAAGATGCAGCACCAACATCATTCCAAGTCTGTTCTTCGGACATACCATTCAGTATCACAGTGTTCTGACTTGTCACTTGAGAGGGGATGTTTGAATTTACCTGGCAGTCATGCACAATAGTAATTACAGGTGTATCCGCCTGCACTGCACCCATTGACACCATCATTGCATATTCCATGTCTGCATAACCTTCCCCTTTTCCAATTCTCCAGCCTAAAATACACAAAAGCAAACAGTGATAGTAAACACGGAAACAGCAGAGGGAAAGGCTGGTAACTGTCAAAAGCATGCAATTTAACTAAGCTGCTTGCAACAGATAAACCAAGCATAGAGTTGTAACTTGGGAAAAATTCAGATCAGCATCTCTCATGGAATGCAACTTTCCTTGGAATCAGCACTGAAATCAAAATAAAACATTAGTTTCAATGAACACCTGAAGGATCCCAGGAGCCCCTCATTCAGAGTAAACCAAATTTGGTCCAGTAACATAGAAGCTTATTTACCCATTGTAATTAGAATCCTCTGTTCATGTCAAACATAGATTAACTTCATGTGGGTAAAGGGGAGTCTGGGCCACACACAAGGAGCATTTTATTTTTAGGCAATGGATAAAGTCAGGTGAAATTTTTTCACCACCAGCAAATCTTCAAAATGCTAGAAAATGTAAAATCTGATCCCCAAATAGGTGATGAATCAGAAGCTGTAACACACGTCCTTTCACACACCCTGTGAGAGCAGAGCAGATCCTCTGAACAGGGAGCCCTCATCCTTTTAAAATAAAATTTTAAAAAATGTAAAAATTGCTTGCCTGAATAGCTCTACTGAAGGCCAGAACACTGGCCTGCATGCTCTAAACCACACTGCTGCCTGCCCACTAGGTGCTGGCAGCATTGTTGTAAAGCAGGCACTGATTCTTCCTGGTTGGACTGGGATCAGTGACTTGTCACACAGAAGAGACAGAACTCAAGACCGTAATTCAGCTCCAAAGATACGGTCGTGTCTGCCAAAAGGAACACGTAGTGTAGCCTACTGACATTGTGAATCGTGACTCAAGACCCTCCTCCTGAAAAGCTTACAAGGCTTTATCTTACCTTTTTCAGAGACAGCCACTGATCCTACAACAACCAAGTCCACTCGTGCTTTCCCATCGAGACCTACAGGCACGCTGTATTCTTTTATACCCTGCAAGAAAAACATAATTTGAGGTTTGCAGATTACAGAGTCTTCCAACCAGTGAGGCAGAAATCCAGAATATTTTGATAAAGCCAAGTAACTCCCCACGTTTCAAAGTGTTTCTTCCATGTATAGCCAAGCTGTATATGTCTGGAAAGTTATCCTCCAAGGAATCCTAGAATACATTCCCTATTACAGTGACAAGAATGTTGGCACACTTCAAGGAGAGCTAGGGGAGGTGGGGACTTTTCTAAGCAAGGTTACTTATTTAGGATCAAATACTTGTATTTTGAAACCCTTTATTTGGCATCTGTTTCTAAAAATGAGGGCCCTACCCTACCACTACTAACTTAAAGTCATAATACGTAAATTCACGCTTATGAGGAATATCAGAGCACTCCAAATTCTTAAATTAATTTTCACAATGTTAATTTGGAGACAGACAGCTACAGCATAAAGACATTAAGCTGCTTGTCTGAAGTCACACAAAATGCTTTACTGAAGTACAACCAGGTCACAAGCTGCATCACTCTCCATTTCACACTGCATCCACTGCCCTGCCAGTTTTTCCACACCTGTATCTTTAAAAGCACCTTCCTAAGCTGCCTACATGTTCCCCGAGACTATACTCCTTAACACTTTGCTCTGTGATCGTTATTCAGGATGTGCCACTGCCAAGCTAAGCTATCTTTACCAAAACCTTGTATCTCAGGTACTAACGAACAGAAAAACACGCTGTTCCTGACAAATGAAAAGAAAAACCTTATAGTCCTGTCATCCTTTTTTAATCACCTTTCTGCCCCCTAATTCCCACCCACACCTCTTCAGGCTCCTCTGTGAAGAACATATCCTAACAAAGTTCTGTCCAGAGCTGCAGAAATTAAAAATGGTGTTTACTTGGGCTTTCAAACAGTGTAATGTAAATCCTCCTCACATGTTTCAACTTTACGCTAAGTTAATCCTCACAATAAAAACCCAAACATTTTCTGTGTAGAGCACAAAACCAAAAAGATCAGTAATTTGTGGCTGACTATCAGTAATAATGCTCATTATCCACTTCACAGCAGACTGGTAAGAATTGTTTGCACAGTGCTTTGTAAATATAAACTGCTAATAGCATTTATTCATTAACATGCCTGGTTGGGGGAAAAAAAACCACATGGTGGTAAGATCAGAGATCAGATATGAGGCCTGAAGCTGGTCAAGAGAAAGGTCTCTTTCAAAAGTGCTCTTCCACGTTGAAAAGCTTAATTAGTTAATGACTTTAATAGAAGTTCCAACAAAGAAAGTCGCTACTAATTACCATCCATTTAAACCCTCAGTTGCATACAAGATTACTGTAGAACTTTATTGCCTGTAGCAGGAGACAAAGAACGAAATAAAACCTCTATAGCTGGCCTATTCATTTTGTACAAGTTACATCTTCCTAACAAATAAAGATGCGTATAAAATAACGCAGGTTTGGCTGCCAAGTTACTTTAGCTGTACACTATCAAATTTTAACACCAGAGGGCAGCAACACACCACACTTCAAAACAAAACTGTTACATTTTTGCACCTCAGCTGACACAAATGACAAAGTTAATGTTTCTTTAGACTTAGGATTCTGAAAGAACTGATCTTTCATGTTTATTAAACCCTAATATTTTATTGACCAGATTATGCAAAAACCGTAAACACTAAAATATTCCTTAAAGGGTTCACTAGCTCAAAACTGCAGAAGAATATAGGAGTACTATTTACTAGAAACCTAAAGATCTAACTCACCTATGAAAGTTGTTCATCATGTTCCAAAAGGCATTTACAAAATACACCATTCTGTTAATAAAATATAGTGAAAAGACTAAATTTCCTCATGATTTAAGTACCAACAAAAAAAATTATCAATGACAGTTGGGTACAGAAAACCAGGAATATCATGCTAGCAGAAAAATATTTCAGGTAGCATCTAGTTTTCCAGCTTCTAGTTGCACTATCATAACACAACACTCTTCTACCTCCCCCACTCTGCATTCCTACTTGAGACGTAGCACATATTCGCAGGATCTCCTTAGTTGCACCTGAAGGTGGAACAATCTTATTGAACAGCCCAGTTCTCAGACGAGGTGTGGGAACCAACAAAGTCTTCCTTGCCTGTGTAACAAAAGAAGTTATCACATTAAAAGGAGCTGGGCCACTAAAAAAATATTTTTACTGTCCCATAGGTCTCCAGGTGGTCAATCATCTTATTTGCTACAGAGCAGTTAGCATTGCTGACTGCGTAGTGCTTGTAGATGAATCCCCTCCAGTACAGCAAAATTCTGGACATGGTTTTATTTAATAAATAGATGGCAAGAAATACCTATTGATCTAAAGTGCACGTCCACAAATGAGCTACACATATAAGCTACTGAACATGCATAGGTTTTGGGGAATAAGAATACAATGACGGTGAAACAGCTCTTGCTCCACTGAAATGTATGAACTTCCCCAAACCCTACCTGCACCTTTGCAATCGCCGAAAAGGCAAAACTGTCCTTACATCAGCCACCTCATGAGGCTCAGAATTTGTAAAGCTCCCGTGACCATGGGATGCTGTCAAGTGCTGCACTGCTGTCCCACTCTCCTCCTCATGGGTGCAAAGGTGCCATTACCTGCAGTGCAGCTAGCCGAACACCTTCTAGAGGTTTGTCAGGATCCACTTTAATCTCACATGCTCTGTTGAACACATCCAGCTGTTTAATAGAGCAGCAAGCCTGGTGAGATCCCTGCGTGAAGAAAGGAATTGAGAGAGAACAGAATACGTTCACTTACTTCCAGTGTTAGAAAGCGAGCATTCTTCTGGGGAGCATCAGGATTTATTTTTACAGTATTGGCAGCTTTGAACTCCTGTAAACCCAGAAGCCTTGTTGCAGCATGGGAGGCACCCTGTTTTCATAAGATACCAGTGCATTACCAAGGAGTTCAAGGCAGAGAAGGGAAATTTACAATCTTTCATCCTATAGAGAGGCTGATTTCCCCAGATTTTAAATATGAGGGAGATACTGTGAATTTTGCAACGTTTTCTATGGGTAACTCTCACATACCAAGAGATGCTGAGAGCTTGACCAATATCTTGCAGGCGTCAGAAAAAGAGGGGATCCAAGTACAGTCACTTAGCCTGACCTCACCCTCATTCACACCTAACTGAAAGCTGGAGATCAATTTCCCTGTTTAGTCAAGGAATACAAAAGGATCCCTTTAAACACAAGCCATAGTCAGAGACCCTTAATGGATGAAAACTTTCTGGACAAGGCTTTCTCTTTACAGAGACTACAGTGAACTCAGAAGATTCACTCCTTAACTAAGATGCTCAAGTTTAGCAGAGGACACACTCCTCTCGTAATTTAAGCTGCTATCCCCTTGCTTAAGGGCATAATAAAGTCTCAGGCTTCCTCTGCCCGCTTCAGCGCCAAACTAAGGTGGAATGTTTCTGCCAGTCCTTTAAACAAAAGCAGAGCCAATCTCCTAATGCTGCTCTTGGGCTAAAATACCCAGCACACGTCCCCACAATGCTATTTTGGGCATCATTTCTTCCACATATGCCAGATACGTGGCTGCACACCTTCAGCTTGGATTAAAACAGGTAGATGGTAAGCAGCGGCCAGAGTAACTGAATACTTGAAAGTCCTCTTATTTCTTCCTCCCACTCATCAAACCAGGGATGCAGCAAAGCCAGAGCAGGAGGAAGGGTTCTCCCACCACTGCCCAGCAACAGTCAGCAATAACTTGGCCACCACTCACATCTCAGCAGCACACTGTACGTTCACAGGCTGAGTCCTACAAGCCAGGTGATCTCAGCTGTCCATTCCAACGGTCCTGTGGGGAGTGAAATCCAGTTTCCCCACCCATAAATACATTTCACTCCTTCGCAAGGTGGTTTTGTATCTACTCAGTAAAACACTGCACCCCCCTGCCACATCTTGTCAGGTACAGATACCTGCATTTCTTTACTTGCTGTAAATTATAGGTGCGTGCTACTTGTGTCACGGTGTTTTTCAGAGCTCTGCCACCCTTTACCATCACTCACCAACCGCACAGCCCACAGAACCGGCGGTTCTCAGCTGCCCGTTTGAGGGCAGGGAAACTGGGGGCGGGGGGAAGGCCCTGCCGGCCTGGGCTCCGGGCTCCAGAGCCCGGCGGATCCCGAGGCTAGGAGAAGAGGAAGGA